ATGTTTGGAATGTATTCATCACAACGAATGAAGGTATTTAACATAAATTTAATATTACTTTTTAATCATTTTACATATGTTTAGGATTGGCGAACAATTGTTTCGAATTATGAAAAAAATTCTGTTTATCTTGGTTTGTGTTTTTCTTTTTTTTTAATTCGTTTTTTGTTCATCTTGAACATTTCTAGTTGAATGTGCTCAAATTCTTCAACGAAATGTTGCTTTTGAAATTCCGGCATTAAAAAAACATATTGGAAAATGTCAACAAATTCGAGAAGAATGTAATACACGTCATACTGAATTAGATAAAAATATTCATGAAATTGAAAAACAATATACACAATTATGTGTTGATATGTCAATTAAAGTTAGTTTATTATTTTATTGATTTTTTTAAAATTCTATTTAATTTAGGGTGATAATGTTCAACGAGAATTAATTCAACGTATTGAATATTTACCAAACATATGTACAGAATTAGCTAGTGGAAATGAAAATTCAATTCCATTATTAAAACCAGCTGTTGAATTTTATATAGAATTTATGAAACATTTTCATCCATCTTCAATATCTGATAATGAAGAATTTTTACCTATAATTAAATATTTAGTTGAACATGGAAATACAACTGTTTATCAATGGCGAACTGGTGGTAATATACCAGTTAGTATTGAACGACCACCATTAAATTATAAATTTGCTGAAACAACAGAAATAAATGAAGAAGAACCAAATATTATTTTAGGATTAGATGATGATGATGATTTAATAACATCTACTGAAGGTATTGAAGTTAAACAAACAGCAGAACAATCCAATGTTATTGATTTTGATACTGTATGAAAGAAAATGTTTACTTTTAAATAATGAACTTTTTTTTTTCTTTTTAGGAAGCAGAAATTGATTGGTCTGCTATTGATACAGTACCAGAATTACTTGATCCAGCACTTTCATCAAATGGTACAAATCCTAATTTAATTGCTGATGCTCTTAGAGAAGCTGCTCTTAATGGATCAAATCAGCCGAGTATTTTATTTTTGTATTTTGTTTTATGTAAAATATTTTTTTCTTCTTCAACTAGTTGATGATGGCATCGCTCGTGGTAATGATGCATTAACATTATTAGAAAATCGTTCAACATATACATTATTTATTCATGAACTTTATCGAGTTAGTAGAGTTTTTATGATTTCAAAATAATAAGAAAAAAAAAAAGGTTCGTTCTCTTTTTGTTTTTCTAAGCTTCAATCATTTTTAAAACAACGTCTTAATGAATATCATGTTAATGAGACTATTCTTATGACGTTTATCATGCAGAATGCTCCAATATCAATACAAAAAATCAATGAAAATGGTTAGAAAATATTTCAAAACAAAAAAAAAAAATAATAATTATCGTTTTTTTTTTTATTTAAGACCTAAAATCTTTTTTAAAAAATGTTGATTCAATATTTACATCAATTGCTCATCGACAATTAGATCGTTTATTTTCAATGCGTGATTCATATAAATTTGTTGATCGTCTTATAAATTGTTTTCAACAAAAAAAAATTTCTATTGAACGTAATCGTTTACAACAAAAAGAATTAGAAGAAAAAGCATCAAATTCTTTACAAGAAGAACAACAATTGAAAGAAAAACTTAATTTATTAATTTCATATACTAAACAACTTAAGGAACAGGTTTAGGCGTTTTTTTTTCAAATTGATGATCAAACTGTATGAAATACTTTTAGGTAGCAAAAGAAATTTCTACAAAAAAATGTCAAAATCGACGTATCAATATAATGGGCGAAATCAACACATTATAAAGATTTTATTTATTTACTTTTTTCTTTTAAAAACTGTGCAATGTGTGTGTGCTCGGGACATTGGTTTTATCATTGTACACAAGTTAATAAAACAGATGAAAAAAAATTCCAATAACATATTCATTTTCTATGAAAAACTTTTTTTCTCGCTAGACAGACTAATGCCTCACTTAACAGACTTTTTTTGACCAAAAATATCAAATTCAAATATCTTTACTTGTCAACTGTCATCTATAATGACAAGCTGAATTATGTTTTTCTGAAACTAAATCACAGACAACTGTAATTTTTAGAATCAAGTCTAAAAAGCATTTCGCTATTGAAAAATCGTCATGACTGTAACTACTATCGGCGACAATAATACTGAGAAACATGTTTAACTTATATGAAACGGTTTTCTTTTCAGAAACTATCAAGGAAAGTACAACTATCAGTAATAGCAAGAAACTTCTCTCTCCGTGACAAATCATCTTTGATTTTGTACTAATTAGTGAAGTTTGCTGGAATCCATGTTGGACATGAGGTTAGATTCTAAACAAAGAAAGTTTTTTTTGTTGCTTTTACATAGAAAAAGAAATTTTCTGGAAGCTGAAAAGATGCATATACATGTTTTTCTTAGTACCCGAAAAATAAAAACTTTCTTGAAGTGGAAGAGAGTGCTCATCGCCTCTAGTCGTCACATTCTTGCCCTTCGACCTTCATCTCCGTAATTTGAATTTCTAACTGCGTCTGAAAACAATATCGAATATTGTCTTTGAAAAAAATTAGCCTCTTTCATTTCCAAAAACTACGAAGAATCATGGTAGTTAACAGTAAAATACATTGGTCTTTGAGTTTATTGAATCTGGAAATCTGCAAATGAATTTCTTTTGAAAACAAAAAATAATAGATACAACAAAAAGAGAAGTTATTCATACAATAGGAAAAATATCGTCGGAAACCAGAGCTGGATTAGTATGAACTTTCTCGAGTACCAGTACGTAAGAATGAGTTCTCTAAAACCTTCCTAGAAAAATTTAATTAGTAGCTTTAGATATGATGTATCAATTTTGAGATTGACGTATTATAAGAGTCATGAATCAAACTGTTGTTATTATTATAGTAGTGTAGAAACTGTTAACTCGTTACGACCTCCAATCTTCTTCTTTAACTATTCAACTTTCCTCTAATCTTTTCCCTGCAATTTCTATCAATCAAATTGACCATAATCAATATTCTATGAACCGATCTTAAAAGAAGAACAAGAATATCATCTTCTTATGAAGTATTATTGGTTAGCGATTAATTACTACATTTCCAAATGCAGCAACAACGCGAAATAAAACATACGCAACGTAACGTTTGTTGCTTTGCTTGTACATATCAAGTGGTTTTCTCGGTGCCCGTTACTAAAAGTACGTTGATTAAACAGATAGAGAAAGCTTTTCGAAATTCTGTGAATGTTCACATCTTTTGTTCTACATTTCTCCATTTCAGCTTTTTAGACTATTTCAGATATTGGACTAGCATCGTAGGCAGCACCAAAGATAGCAAGAATTATATTTAAAATTGTTTGACAAATATTCGCCATATCGTGCTTATTGCTCATAGTGTTAATAAGATACACTTAGGTTATTTAATGCGTCAATTTTTCTCGATTTGTTCAAGTTATCGTAGGCGATCTCCATGGAGGTGATGTCAAAATGATCTATACTCTGAGCCAGATTACACTTCGTGTTGAAAGCCTGATAAATGTATATCAAGCTGGCGTTCGAAGTAGTCTAACTTCAATTCCGATCGTTTCGTTCATTACGAACTTGATCTTTTCTTTGACTTTCTAGAAATATCATCGTGCGTACTGAAACTATAATAAGCCATATTAGATTTGGTATGCAAAACAGTTTTGATCGCTTTTATGATCGATTTTTCGTCTTTTTTCGCTATTCGAAAGAAGTGTTCATCCAAAATGATGAATCGAATACATTCAATGCACACTGGTTAGATGTTTTTAGAACACAACTAATGGGCAAGTGTCAGTAAGCACGTATTCGATCATACAAGATTCAGCTAAAACTGGTCTATCATTGGATTTCTCTCCTGTTGCTCTCTTTCGTATTGATCTTAATCGTGAATATTGCGTCTACGCATGTTTATGCTCGTTAAAATAAAGCAAAAGGTTTCCAAGAAGGTATTTTGCATGTGTCTCGAGCTATATGTATATCTATTGGAGAATGTCCGATAGGACAATACGTCTTCTTAATTGGAAAAGGAATGTTTTCACTGAAGTTCGATGATGATATACAACTGTTTTCTATAAACAGATTGAATCTATCTGATTTTATATAATATTCTTGATTTTGTTAATTTGACGAAAGAAATATGACAATTTATCATAATTGCTAGAAAACGGTAGGAGAACTAGATTTTGCTCATGTCAGCACCAAGCGCAAAATAAATGCATTCAAATGTGATTTTGTCAAAACACAAAATTATGCCCTTGAAAGTTCTTCTGGGGTTATAGATTGTGTTTTGCAAAAATGGACAACATACTTATAACTTCCGAGTATTTTCTTGATAGGAATATCCTTTTTCTTCATGACAGTTTTGAATACTCAGAAGACGAAGAATCAATTGATTCTAAGAATCGTTCCTTGAAAACGAAAGTGTTTTCCTTATTACCTAGCATCTTCTCTCGAAGTTTCAGCTTCTAATTGTTTAAGGGAACCTGATTTCCTGACCCAAAATTTTCAGCTATTCCGTTTTTCATTCTTTATGTTTGATATATAGATTTAAATACTCTCAATCTAATGAGCATATTTTAAGAGAGCAAAACAACTTTTTTGCATGTAAAAAATTCCACAAAACTGATTTTACGCGGAAAAACTCAAAAGTGCAACTTTCTATACGATTTTCTCAAAATCATATTTTCAAACAACAAACTGAGGTCTTCACACCTTTTCTCATAGACAGTAAGATCGATTGGGTTCAAACTTATGTTATGAATACTTCGATCAAATTGGGACGCGTGTGTTTTTTCTCTTGAAAATATTGTATCTATGAAGTTTGTCAGATTTTACAAAATTAGCAACATCCAAAAAACAAGCTTTTTTAAATGATTTTTTGATAGTGCCTCCAGTACCAAGCTGCTCCTAAGCTTCTGGAACAATATATTTTAAACAAAAAAAAAACAATCATCTGACTATAATTAAATTTATTTCGTTCGTTTGATATAGAAAAGAAGGTAGGCATATTTTGATATGATTTGTTGTTTTGGATAAATCAGTGATACGTATGAGTCATCGAATTCGTACCATTCATCCGCACTTGGTTCTTCTCGTGCATATGCAGTATAATGACCACCATTGATAGTTCCAATATGATTACTAATAGCTATGAGATCATAGATGGCCTTTTCTTTTCCCGATGATGATGATGATAAGAGCTCACTCAAATCAAGTCCATCAATAGGAAAATCTACAAATGAGTCTAACTTTCGACGCAAACCATTTGAATATGAAAATCGTTTAAGTTGAATAATGACGACGTGTGGAAGACTTTTAAATTGAAGCTGTTTGGTAGCAGACGTGCTTTGCTGACATGTCTTTTGTTGGCAAATCCATAGATCATCGAGTGTCTCAGATGAAACAAATCCTTGAAGACATTCTTCAAGTCTTAATTTGCTACACTCCTCGTCAAATCGATCAGATTGAATACCACTGATGTAATGATCTTGTTCGATAAGTGTTACTTCATCTTCGGATAATCTTCTGAGTAGAGTTTCGAACTGCAATTGTTCTTCTGACTTTGTTCCTATAGCAACGATTCGATCAAAGAGATGTGAGGGATCATTAAGCTCAAGATATTGCCGCACTAGATTTCCAACTCGTCCATTGGCATTCACATTCACTGAAGTACGGTCATGACGGCCATCTTTTGTTACAAAATTTACTACAAATAATCGTTGTTGTTGATTGATTGATAATGGAAGAAAGGCAATACGATTTGTTGTGCTTTTTACATGTTTACATTTAAGACAAGTAACATTAGATGTAAGCGTTCCGAAAAAGAGCTTTTGGATAATTGTATTTCGATCGGGTTTATTTTTTTCTTTTATTTCATCATGTATGACATCAAGAAGAAACGTGATGAATTCCTGAGCATCCTGTTGATCCGATGTAGCAAAACTTGGAGCAAAATAACCGATTGTTTCCTTTATTCGTGTTGGTCTGAATGGATGTGTATAATCTAAGTCTGTGCGATCAGGTCGTCGCATATTCCATATTAGGTCAGCAAAAGCTCCGGTCATTTCACCGCATGTATCAAATGGATTGTAATCATTCTCGTGGTCATCAGATGTATAAACTCGAGCATAACCATCTAAAAAGAAATGAGTCAACGGTTCCACGTGGATGAGGCATTGAAGTGCACTGTTCATGAAACATGTATTGCCGAGATTTACCAAGCCGCGGGGCTTTAAGCCAATTTGATATTTGCTCGACTCTCTAGGTAACATGTTGTTTTGGCTGTTCGAAATAAATAAATTGTTGGAATACATATTCATCGTACGTGCATAAATTGTATTACCAGGCTTGACGCCGAAATCAGCCAAACATCGATCCGGTTGTTTATCATCAATATCAATCGTTTCTGAATATAATCGAAACTTAGTCCTCGACTCACCTTTTTTCAGCGCTGCAATTTCGGTCATCACTTTGGCCACTGTATCTGTCACTGACACCTCAATAATGATAGACTCCTGTGTTGAGAATCTGCATTGAACATAGACTGGCTGTTCTTTCGTAGTCAACAATGGCGGTTCCAACTTATGGATTCTTCTTTCCATTTTCGTCGTTTGTCTTTTTTGAAGGTCTTCTCTAACAATCGCATTAATGGTGTCATTAGGTTTGATACCCAACTCTCGTAATATTCGTTTCTTATCATTAGAAATTAAAGATTCATCTTTTGAATTACTGAATTCCACATGGATATTATAACATGATGGAAATCGACGTGCAATCTGATTTTCTAGCTCGATAATGGAGTCTGTAATGGATGCATGTAATAGTGTTTCACCATGTAAACTACTCTTAACAAGAACATATATGTCTTGATCATAATCATAAAAAGGATTAGATTTTATAATTGTTATAAAAATTGAAGAATAATTAGTAAGACCCAATTCGCTTAATTTTTTTTCAAAGTTGGGTGACTGATTGAGTTTTTCATTTGAGAACGTGCACAGTTGAATACTCTGACGATCAGTCGAAGTCAAAGCAAAGATTTTGATGATATCATTGAGAAGAATGTTAAGTGTTGTCGATTTCTCGTTCCATTCGTAATTTTTCTTTTCGATATCATCTGGTGAGAACAAGATTAGATGTGATGATTTGCAACGATTACCAGCATTCAATGGCTCACAACATAATAAAGACCCGTTTTTGATTCCTAATTTTTGCAACGTCATGTTAACATTCTTTTTAGGTGCCATAGAGCTCCGTCCACCCAAAAAGATTGATACCAAAACTGTTTTATCAGGAGAGATCATGTTTTGTTCATCAAGCGCTAGAAATTCCTTGACAACTTTGCTAATCGTATCTGTTGGTAGAAAACGAATGCGATTCTCTAGTATTATGAGTTGGTTTTTATCAATATATTGAAAATCGAGTGCCAAATGTCGATCGGACTCGTTAATTGTTGCATTACTATTGGTTTTGCTCTGATTACTTGAAGAAACTGATGAGCCACTACCCATCCCGATAACTAATGATGAAAATAAATTCGATTCACTTATTTAAGTTAATGATGTAATTTGAAAAGGATGAGACGTACCTATATAAAAATAACAATAATAAATAACATAGCAGTTATCATATTCACGAAAAAGAATTAATGAAAAAGCATATATTTTTATACATTGAATCGTTTACAAAGTAATTTTAGTGTAACAATTGTAATCGATAGAAATAGTATTGCACACTTTTATTCCTTCAAATTCTCCAACTAATGGGAGGCAAACAATCATCAATGCTTTAACCACTCGTATGTGAAGAAAAACATTGAAAGAACACGCATAGAAATTTTACCGTTCTTTTTCTATCAGCACACAGTTTATGGCTCGTCTTTTCTCCTATTCTATGCAAAGCTTAAAAAAAAAGAACTTTTGTCATTAGTAACGATACTCTGAATGTCAACAATGAAGCCGTTGTTATGAAGGTTTTGTGAAATTCAATATTGCAAAAATAGCTCAAAAATTCAGAACTATTAAAACAAATTGATGCCAATCTTTACTCTCAATGAAACATTCATAGAACAGGTCGACTCAAATTAACTGATGAAAGAAATCTTCTTCAATACAACCACACAATGCCTCAACCAATAAATTTTATTCCTTATTTTTCTGTAAAATTCATATGTTCTTCGAACATTCACCCGGAAAACCCCAGAGGGTAAGCAGCAACTGATGTTTTTTGTAGGTTACAATGAGTTTATGTTATTAATATTGATGAATACTTTATCAATGATACTACATCTCAAATAATGGATCGATCAGCATAAAAGTTTGCATTTAAATCAGACAGAAAAAATTTAACTAGATGTAAAACATAAAGTTGAAAGTATAAGAAAAAATATAAAACATTTGAATGGCTTTCAGTAAAAAGTCTTAAAATATTGGTATGAATGTTATAATAAATCATACGTTGTCTATGGAAAATTGATGTTTTTTATGTTATTTCTTTCAAAAAGTTAATGAGTCAAATTTTATATGATGGTATAATATGATACTCCTATTGGTCTATCATTTGAGAGTTGAGATAATTCAAACAGGTGTGCATAAAAAGAAATATTCACAAAGCAAATTGTGTAAGTCTTTTTGAAAACAACTATATATATAGAGAGAGAGCAATTAAGAAATTTTCTTGCATTGATCTACGAATTTATTACAAAAAGGATTTTAATAAAATATGATTTTATATAGATCTTTCTTTCGATAAATCAAAAAAACTTTTTCCTTTCTCAGACGGAATAAAGTCTATCAATATGTTGATCCTTAAACCTGTTTATTCTTACTCGAATTGTTTGATACTAAAGATCGAACACTTCATTGTATTTCAAGAATTGGATATTAGTGAAGTTCAATGAAGTAATTGATTGGTCTTTAGGGTCTAACAGACTTATATAAAATGAACTAAAACTTATATGATTGCAACACATGTGGATACTAGACTTGATATGGCAACGAAGTTATAAAAGATAGTTTTCACATACCCGAGGAGTATGGTAAAGTACAGAGTTTTCCCTTTTTCCACTCTGAGAAAACATCATCATCGTTATGACAGACCATAATGAAATCCAAAAACTAGATTGTCACAAAACTTGATAGACTGTTACAAATACATCGAAATCTCTCTCACAGTCAGTTAGTAGGTTAAAAGAACGTTAGAGTGTTCGTCGTAGCCTTCGAAGAAACCTGAAGAAAATCGGATCAATTTTCCCGCCATGTACTTCAACATTCATTGATAATCATGTTTTCCAAAAGCACTATAATAATGAAACAGAAGTATTTCGTCATTATTTTCGTAAATCAGAGATAGGAATAACTAATCGAAATGTTAACTTGACTCTTACAGAATCAGAGATATAAAAAGTAACTCATGCCTGTTTACAGCGGGTTCGGTTCCGACTCATGGATTTAGATTGGTATCGGTCCCAGTAAGGAAAACGCCTACTGGCTGCAACAGTGCTACGATCGAAAATGAATATTCAACGAATATTTACAAGCATCGATTTCTCTATTTTAATTAACTATATTAAAAATAAGTTCAATATTAGTCCAATAAAAATATAAACTTTGATTCTATTTTGAAGCTGTAAAAAATCGTTTCCGAATTACAATCGCTGATTTAAAATGATTTTTACTGAATTATTGTGAGTTAGAGTGATTTGTGTGATTTAATTTTGATTTTCAGTTGATTCAAAACAGTTGTAACCTACTTAGAAAAAACTAATTGACATTACAGTGAGTTATAATGCGATAATTGAAGGAGCATCGAACAGTAAAAGATATTCAATTTGCTTTAAGATCTTCAAATAGTCATGTTTCGTCAGTAAGAATCCATCTCTACTGTATGCTAGTTGAACATTGTTCTGTCTTATTGAAAGGATCAACTAAAAAGACCTTCAATGGCTAGATATGTGCATGCAAATATGGGTGTGAAAAATAAATCTGTAAGACTCATGTTTCATGAATTGTTTGTGTACATACTGAAGAGATAAACAGTGTATGGGTATGTAATTGATGTAATAATTATCAAAATCTTTAGAATAAAGTTTGACTATGCTACCCTTATCAGAGTGGTCTCTTAACTACAACACTCTGAAATTTCCAATTGAATAATCATATTCGTAGAAGAAAAATAACGTCACTTAAATTTGTAAGTCAAGCATCAGATCGACAATAGATACAAGATGGATCATTAACAGTACAGCGATAAAAAAAGAGTGAAATATCTCCGCTTTGGTTCGCTCGAATGGTCTGGTTTTATCAATTAGTAGTAGAAACGTATTAAAGTTTTTTTTCTGTATGAATAATGTAAATAAACAGCGATGTTAAGTTATAGATTTGAGCTCACTAAAGAAATTTTACCTGTTATCAAGTAGAAAAAAAATTGTGCAGCATTTCATAGATAAACTGTAGTTGCCATCTAAAAGAATAAAAAGAAGTCAACACAAACTATAAATGACACTATACTGATGCACACAGAACACGTTTTTAAAACTACTTAGTCAGTTTAAATTCGTACTCTACAAGTAAAACACACAATTGTAGATCTTTGGGCACCAAACAGTAACATATTTGCAAAAACTAATCCTACATGTTTGAAAGTTCGAAATTTTTCAATTGCTCATTTTAAACTAACTAATATTGCAAATTTGCCTCATGTGCACCAACATACTATCACTCATGAAGCATGTTTTTTATCTTTTCTTCTTATTCTTTTATATGTCAACTTAAGTTTATCTATGAAATGCTACACATTTACTTTTCTTACTTGATAATAGTCAAAATTTGTTTAGCAAGGCCAAAACTATAATTTGATAGTAATATTTATTCACGTTATTCGCATCAAAAAACCTTCCAATATGCTCCTATCACTAATAAAAAAATAGTTCATTTTATTCAGCTGACTCAGAGATTTTTCATTCGCTTACCCTAGTCTCATTTATGATCCACTATGTAGAATGAAAAGATTAGCTGAACTTCAGACTATTAGACGTCAAATACCTCACTAGCTCACTTTTCCTTTTAGCACATGTAAGTATGTAACAATAAAACTGCAAATATTATGATTATTGACACAATTAATTGATCTGCTATGTTTTTTAAATGATTTCGTAAGTATGAAAAGTAAATAAAACAGATAAAACTTTATGTTCGACAAAATCTAATTTGAATGTTTGTTCCTGTCTCAGTATAATCGTTTTGGTTAGAAATTAACTTCTACTTCTTTTTACATCACCATGCAAAACGGTTATGTTTCATGTCGTTCGACAGTAGTTCGATTATGGTAAATGACTAGGAGAGGACAGAAAAGAGAAAAACACACGTGAGCATGTGTTCGCCTACCTGATACTATTCAATGTTGATTCTACACAATTATCTTTCGTTTGTAGAGCATATTTAAAATGCTTTGTTTTCTTGACTCTCACTATTGTGTTCATTATTTTTATTTATGCAATAAATAAGTATTTCACACTTAAAGGACCTTTACCTGGTTTGTCGCCGCACTTTCTCTTCGGGAATTTGATTCAGTCTGGAGCGCTGTTTAGTAGTAATTCATCTTATCCTCAGATTTTATCTGACTTCAAAGCTCGTTTTGGTGACGTTTTTCAATTTTGGATTGGTCCATGACGCTTGATTGTTCAGTATCGTTCGATAATTGCTTGAGCTCGCTGATATCGACGACTAAGTTTTGAATAAATTATAGCCGGAAATCTCGACAAATAGAGTATTATTTGGAATGTATTTAATAAATCTTGAAGTGTTTGTGTAAGTTCATTATTTCCGGTAGCACTACTACAATCGAGAGTCTCTAAATCATAGTCAAAAGCTATGAATCCACAAATGGCTAAAAGTAGATGTTGGAATTGCTGAATAATAACACAATGTACTTTTTGCACAGGACTTAGTTCCCAATTGGCTAGTAGTTTATCCACACAGCTGATAATTACATTCAAATGTGATATTATTTTGCCGCGACGAAACAATGGCAAAATGGATGATGCATGTCGCTTATATTTGGCATCTAGGTTAAATAAGAAGACCTAACAACGAGCATATTGAAATTTACCTCTAGTACAAATTAATCCATCTGAATAGAACACACTGATTTGCTGCACAAACAAATCTCCCTGATCGTAAATGTTTCGATGAGTAAATATATGCTGAACATCACCAATGCCACTTACAACAATCACATACATGTCAAACATGAAAATTGAATTCAATTATTGAAAATTTACTTCAACTATTCAGTTATTCAATAGTTGAATTTCAAGTATTCAACTATTCAATTATTCGTACTTCAGAAGTACAGAAGTTTGCTTTTTTTCCCCTTGAATTTCTATGAAAAAAATCGTTGCAATTTTATACATTAATTTTTCCCGTTTGTATTGTATTGCTCAATCATTGTGGCAAAAACATTTGCCAGACGGTTTTAAAGAATCTATTATTCTGTATGTGAACATATGGTCTACTCTAGTTTTTTTTTCCACAAGGCGTAATCGTCTATTAATATCAGGTATAAAATTGTGAAATTTTTTTCTTACTTTGGGCATACCATTCCAGTAATCAAATAAACTTAGAACTTTGTCAAGAGATTCTTTTTGGCGACATTCATTTTACTTACTGATAACATAAAGTTCTTTTCAGTGATTTGATTCGATATTGGGATGGAGAATATATCTACATAGTCTCACTTGAAAATCGTTTTATTGAAATGACATGAAAAATATTAATAAAGAAAATCTTCCAACATTTTAGGGCTGATGTCAATAGACAACTGCGTTATATTGAAAAATTGAAGTAGATTCCATATCAGCATCGTAATTTAAGTCACACATAAACTTACGATTGTCACTTTTCGAAGTGATGTGATCTTATATCAATTTTACTTAGAGAGGACTGTGAAAAAAAACACTAGAAAAACATTTGATATAATTGAAAACACAGAATATAAATGTTTCGAAGTAAAATATCTCTCCAAGTCTACTCTACAGTTGGCTCTTGACTACAACGTAAATGTTGGAAGGGCGAATACTATTCCTGATTGTCTTGTGCTCAGTCATTATTGAAATAGGTTTTTCTCATTTACGGGATATATGTTGATAACTTCACTAAAAATGAAAGAGAACTTCCATTCGAAAAGTTACAATAATGAATACAAATGTTTGCGCGGTGAGAATCAGACACAAATAAACCATTAAAATACTTATACAGACTACATAATCGTACCATGGTGCGACATTGTTGCAAAAAATCGAAGTATCGGAAAGAATGTAAGTGGTTATAACCAAAAAAGAATAGGAATAGACGATGCAAGAAACGGAGAAAAATATACAACAAAAGAAATTAAAATCTGCCTATTTACTTATTGCAAACTAAAACCTTTATTGCTTAGTGGATGATGCAGAAATATTCGTTTTCGAGCGATGTTCTCTATCTGTCACTTAATCATTTATATTGATCAAATGTTGAGAAAAGAAAAGCACTTCAAGCAATTTTATTTATTCGGTGAATAATCTATATTTTAAGTAAATTATAAAATTTAGCTTTTTTCTTTAGTTTAACTTTTTATTTCCTTTTTCAAGTATCGGTTTTTTGTGTTGTCATTATTTATTTGAGGCATACATCCAGAAAAATTTCTGCTTTAGTAGCTAAAGAATTTTCTTCAGGTTACAAAAATGATTTTTAATCAAAATTAAAATTTGAATAACACAGGAAAGCCAACCAAAACAACTGTATGTCATCAATATGTCAATGTTGGCAACGGCGCTTAATCGTCATAATGAAATATTCAGTCTTCATTTTTTTCTCCTCATCAAACATCAGTATGCGCCGTTGCAAATACGTTCGTCTTGTATTTATAATAGTTTTTGTTTGTGTTTATATTATCTTTATGTAGTTTTCAAATCCAACATGGTAGATAGCATGGTGCCGATATTCACTTATATTGTTTAAGGTAGTCATTAGAGCTTGTCTGTTGCTACGAGAAAGAAAAACATATCGACGACAGGAAAAAAAGCTTTCAATGTACTAATTAAAATATTCACTATATGTGCTCATTTAAGAGATTTAACTATATAGTATAGCTCAAAAAACAGTGCTCACTCTCAGAGCTTGTTAGAGAGGCTCACTTCCATCAAAAATCGATTGATCGTTTCGCCGAGTGCCCATATAAACGAGGTGCTCTTGTTATAGAGGTCCCCATATAGTGGGATTTTACTCTGTATACTTAGTAATGATGATAATAACCAAAGACTAGCACAGAGGTTGAATGATTGAAAAGACTTTTTCTCAAAATGGTCAAAGTACAACGATCCTTCGTCAGAGTTGTTATTTGTTTCATTTTTTTTGTATCGATGAATTTTTTCTTGTGAAATTTTGTTGATGAGCAGGTAGAACTCTGATCTGTTGTATTGAAGAAGATATTAATAGATGAAATACATCTCGTTTAATCCTTTCGTGGTTTAATGGTTCTCTGTTCATTGCATTGATCTCAGCTTTATTCCCTTTTCTCTCGGTTGATTTTGTCGTTTTTTTATGTACACAACGAGACAAGAAATCAGATTACGATAGAGAGAGCGCGCACGTAGCATTGAATATTAGACTCTGTTAATCTTTTGATCGCAACGAAATCAAAATATGATTAAATGACGATAGAAAGAAATAAGGTGAATAAGACGATGATGACAGCGTACATGCATTAATAATACGCTTTGAAGAACATTCTTTGCGTTCTTCAAGATATGGTATTAGTGTGCGCATGAAAAGTAACCAAGTATTAGCACTGGTGCCAATTGGTTTTTTTCCCTCTCATCTATTTTTCATGGTCTGCTATGTTAATATTAATATTTGTGCTGCTTTGCAAAATCGAATGGATGTGTGGGCCAAGATACCATAGTATGGTCGACAACGACGTACACAAACAACATCGCTTCTCAACAAACTAATTTTCATTATTCTCCATGAGTTTCGTTACCCAACACCTTTCTTAGTTACGAATTTTGAATGTGCCCGCTAAGATTGAAGTAAGCGACAAGAACATGTCGCTCTTTTTGAAAAATGAAAGTTTAATATTTTTTCTAGTTGAATTCAAGAAAACTTTTCACCTTGTTCAGAATTAAATGAATTTCTTGAATGCTCATATTCTTCTCTTGCGGAATATGACCTCACGAAAAGCAACTGCATCCCATTGGTCATCATTCAAGAAAGAAGCCGACATAATTTGTATTTTTTTTTAATCTAACTTCTTCACTAAGTTGTGTTCAGAGAGATTTCAATCGAATCCAATACAATGTGTCTAGTACATCTGTGTATCCTTCTAAGTATAGTCATTGGAATATTTGCCTATTTAAGTATAAACAATATTCACTCTTATCATAAAGCAAGAACGCTAAGTAACAGCTATCAGGCTAATGAATGCAAAATTTTGCGAACATCCGTCAATAAAACGATATGTTGACGAGGATCCACAAAAACATGTAAATTTTCTCGTTTTTCATACACATTGACATTCATTCTTACATTAGTGTTCTATTTATCTGTTCGAATTTTTATTGGGTATGATTGTGGCTATGAATGTGGATGTTGATGTAGGGCAAAAAAAGACTCACGCTCTCATCCTTACATAAGTGCAGTTAATTTGTAATTTTTTTAAGTTTAAATTGAAAACTAAACATTAAAAAAATAGACGGTTTTATAACAGTTTTCTCTTGTTATAGTTTTATCCAAGTCAACCAATTAATGTAGTATTGATGGGTATTAGTTCACCAATATTTACCCCGTTATCATATTGAATTAATTCAATAGTTAGTACACCAAAATAAATGTTAACTGGCATATTGCCGATAGCTCGAGCTGCAACATCAATAACATGTATGCCCGGTTGTAAATAAATTAATTCCGATTTTGTTATTGCTGTCGCTATTGACGTGAAAAAAGCATATTGTCCTACACCAATATGATCAAAATCATGAATCTTGGTAAATCCTGGTATTGATGTATAGCGATCTTCAGTATTTTTTATTAATTTATCATTATAAATCAGAAGATCATTCACCATTATACGGGGAAATACCCATGCAGATGGGTTTGAAATATGACATATAGCGTCAAATCTAATTTTAAATAATAAGGGTTCTGTATGATAGAATGTTGCAGTAAAACCAGTCACTTTTGCATACACATTGGATTCGCCACTAATAAGAAATGATGTCGGCTCTTGAAACTTTCTATAAAATCTCTGCGACTGTATGAAGCCATAACCACTATTTGAATTCTTTGATGAAATTCGTATAGTATTACCATCTGTACATTTGATGATTACCAGCAGTAAAAGCTTGAAAAATACACAGGTTTTTTTCATCTTTAGAAGTGAATAATATATTCTGATCCGAGTTTTATAATAACAATTGAAGAATATGAAACCATATGCATTTATAATACGGGAAGTATGCAAAACATACTGTTGAATATTATAGTTTACTAAATCTTTGTATCAACTTGAAAAAAATTTATAGCATTTTGGAGCTTGGTAGTCAGTATTAATCTTTTCATGATCCTTTCAACCATAATAATAAATTCAAAGTGAATTTTATTCAATCAAATAATTATTCAAGTGCTTGTTTTTAGCAATATTGATGAGTTTACGAACATATGTAACCATGAATAAATTAGATTGAAATAAAAACATCGTACTAAAGTATTCACACAAGTTTGCTTGGCAAAATCGTAATTAACCCTTAAAAACCGAATGTTCCTTCCTAAGGATATTATAAAAACCTCAATAAAATATGCAATAATACGGTGCATACAAAACTCTGTTTTTTTCAACTCAAATGACCTTATAAGTCATAAAAAAGAAAAGAATCAATGCTGAGTAACTATCATACGAAACAGTGAGATTTTTACGGATTGTGAGTTTTTAAATGTCATTTTTTCATATTGAAATATCTTTTCGTTGATGAATACGAGAAGAAAACTATTTGTTAAGGGATTTCGCGAGATGCATCATGCATCTACTGGATAAAACTACTCCATAATGTTTTCATCGATCAATTGATGCACTATGATATAATGAAAGAAATGTCCCTTCCAAGGGACATTCGGTCATAACAATCCAAAATCCTCAATCATCGTATGAAAACGCAAAAACAATTAAAATATTGAATGTTTAAGCTTTTTGACTGTCCTAAACTTAACATAAGATTGTACTGAGTAGAGCGAAGGTTGAGTGTGCTGCCCCTCTTTAAAAGAATCATCTTTTTACTTATGAAATTTTACTCAATACGAGTTGACGAAATTTCTTAAGGTTCTTAAATGATCTCATTCAACCTTCTTACGGTAATTTATTATCAATTTGTCGAATCGAGATTATCAGTATATTTGAAATACGACTATTTTCTCTCTTTCAAGACTGATTACGGCGAAATTGAAAGGGGTACAACACTCTATAAAAGAATAGAATTCGCATAAGAGTGTTATTTTTCACATTTAACAACATGGTTTTTTTTTCTGTCGGTTATTGTATACCTTTATTTTTATTAACTCATCTGTATAGATACTTATACTTGGTTACAGTGGTAAAGTCAGGATTTTGGAGTTGAAGAGGAAGATTGAGTTCCCCTAGTCAAAAGTACATTGATAGAAAATCTCGTGAAACTAAAGCGGTCTTAAACATCTCTAAGGATGAGCGGAGCTTCATCTCTTAACAAATAAAATAGATACTCCAAAGATTTATTTAATATACGTTCATTTAAAATCGAATCAGTTAACTAATGACTTTATTTTAGATGTTTAACTGCAAAAGTGTTTCTAAAATAGATGTTAATTAAAGAAATTTATAAAAAATAATCAGTTATTACACAAACAATTAAAATTGGCACTGACATGTATTCCATAAACAATCATTTTTGCTGTTCGATTATTAGCATAAAAGATACCAGAATAATTAGTCTTTAGATTTTGGAAAATTAACACAAATTAATGATGGACTTTTCATAGCGTATGATTTTTGAAGTTTTCGAGAGATTAAGAAAAAAAGTATTTTTGATAGATGAATTAATTATTAAGAAAATTTTTTATGAATAATTATTAATCATGTTTGCATTAAACATGTTAGATAAACTTAATACATTACTAATACGATTAAATAAATGTTTAGCATAACGTTTATTCACTAACGTTTATTCTTACACAACAACACGGTTACTCTGTTGTTCTAACAAATAATTATTTAATAGTTAGCAAAGATATGATATTTTCAGATCTAATCATTCAACATATTTTATAAATAGATAATAATAATAAGCACGTTATTTATTAAGTTCTTTTAGTCTCTCATTTGACATGATTTTTACTAGAACTTGTTTTTCTTTTTTATTGTTAATGACAATGTTTCTTGATGAATTTTAATTGGTAAACTGAATATGAAATCTCATCATATTACTATCTGTAATGACTGAAATCAATTTTGATTTATGTTTTCTATCAAAAAAGTTAAAACATTCAAATATATTTACAGTTTGAAGTTTTGACGACGAATTATATAACGATTCAACAAAATACTAATGAAAGAATAAAATAAAATTTAATCGAATTTCATAGTCTATCATTGTTTATTCTACTTATATTATTCATTAATAATAGATAAAGCACCAGTAAATGCATGCGATTTGTGCATAGATGCAAAAAAACAAAAAACAATTTCACAGAAAACAAAGCAAAAGTAAAAAGCAAACATAATATGTAGTTAGTTTTTGTTGTAAAACGAAACAATCAAAGATTGTTTTTTTTTTCTATAAAATAATTTGATTAACATAAAATATTTTCTTTTATGTCCATAAGAGAATAGGAGCAATACCTATAATGAAAATAAATTTATTTTATATATATAAAAAAATTATCTATTTTAAATTCGACCTTCTGATGTTGTCCAATTCGGCATTAGAAAATCATCAGCTAAAAATTCTAATGGAAATTCAACAACAAAACCTTTTATTTGTTTACATTTTTCATGTGCCTTAATTAAAAGTAAAGATTTTTTTTTGATTTAAATAATAACTAAATAGATAAAAACTTAACATACAGTTAATGGATCTGTATCTCTTAATTTAGGTGGTTGAACATAATTTTCAACTTCAGTAAAAGTTTTAACACGATTAGTAGGTAATGTATTAAAAACTTCTTCATAAATTTGTGCATTTTTTTTTGCTGTTTGACGAAAATATTGATAAAATTCATCTGAACATGGATCATCAACACTCATTTCTTCTTCATTTTTAATACCCAATAATTGTCTATAAAAATTGAATAAATATATTATTAATGATAATAATAACAAACCTGAATAATTTCTTTCTCCATGTTGAAGAAAAAATTCCAACTTTTTGTTGTTGACCATTTAATTGTGAATCAATCATATCAATATCATTAACAACTAAACAAAATTCTGAATCTCGAGAACCTTGAAGAGAACGATCATTTATATTTGCTGATCCACAAATACATATTCGATCATCAACAATCATTAATTTTGAATGAACATAAATTATTTCTGTTATCTTTAACAAGTTTTTTTTTTATTATTATTATAAATTATTATTAAATAAAATAAATTCTAAATACTTACTAATTGACCCATTAATATATCCCAATTACGCATTCCATAAAATGATATATATTCTTCAGGATTAGATACACCTATTTTAATAAATGATATTAATTAATTCATTCTTAACGATACAAATAAACTATCTATACTTGAGATTTATTAGACTAATTATAAATTTTATCTAAATTGATTCGATAATCAAGTCAATTTTCTTCGAATAAAAATATGATTTTATAATAAAGTAAACTTAAAAGGGGATATTCCCAAGTGGACTTTGACTGTTAATAACATCATTGAGACTAGTTTGCATAAAAAATTTTCGAATTTTTAGACTACATCTCTTTGAGACATGGAGCTTTTATATTCAAGTGTAAAATAATATTTTATCTTGATTGATTTTTTTTTACTTATTAAATAATGTAATTTATTCTCTATAATAAAAAACTTACCATCTCGTATTAATCTTTGAAAAAGTGATGTTTCTCCTTTATTAATTGATCTCATTATAAAATAAAGAACAGCTTGAACAGCATTAACATTTGAAAATCCAGGTAATAATGGTATAACAACATAAACTCGAAATTTTTCTTTATTAGTAGCAGCACGAATTATTCGACGATAAAGTGAATCACCAATTAAATTTTTAATTGTTGCATCATTAGCAATGGAAACAAAAAATTGATTCTAAATAAAGAAATTCTTTTTTTTTTTGTTTTTTGTTCAAATGACATAAAATTTACTTCAATATAAATAAAATGTTGAGCACTTTCAATCATATGAATATAAGCATTTTGTATTGAATGTTCTACAGTACGTGTTCCACATGACCAAAATGTAACAGATCGAACACATTGAGCATCAACACGCATTGGTATTTGTTTTTCTCCAAGAATATCAAAAAGTATTGATGAATCAAATAATTGATCATCATCATAACTCTTTGGAAGAATGTATGGATACGATTCATTAAAACGAAATTTACCTGCCTATTTTTTATAATAAGAAAACAACTGAAATTTTTAATTATTTCAATAAAAAAGAAAAAAAAAAGTTAACTTTATGAATATTCCATCGTTGAATAAAATGTCTGGCACAATCTCTTGCTGCTTCTCCAGTAACAACTAAAGCTTCATCATGCCATGGCATTCGTGGAGAAGTTTTACGATCAATATAATCTTTTTTACAAATGAAATAATAATATATTATTTAATATGAATTGTAAAAATAATGTAAAAAAACCTTCATCAAATTTTTCAATAAATTCAAAATCTTTTTCATAAGAATTTGAATAATCTTTGCCCATAAAAAATCGACATTTTTTATCAAGAACTGGTGTTACACCAATGATTGTTTTAGGTTTTTCATCAATTGGTTCTTGTGGAATTTCTTCATCTTCATCTGATGAATCTTCAGTTTCTTTTTTTTGAACTTTCTATTATTTATAATAAAAA